CCATTATGGTATTTAGTTATAGCAAAGTCCTACCTAATCCTTGGGAAAAACGGCGTCAGCCACAATTATAATTTATCAGTCTCTTATATAGTTTTTACGTAGCAGGCATGAAAGTTCTAAATATGATATTTCTTCTTATACATCGAAGCAGTCCATAGAAGTACAGTCTTCGATTTCAAATTCTGCCAGATTTAGTAATTATTCCAAAGGATTCCAAAGGCAATTTGCAGGAAAGACCACATTCATATCTGTATAAACAAAAAAGATTGAAACTACGTATTAAAACCGATAAACAGCACCCGAAAAGATCTAGCAGAGACAATCGAGCGGAAGAATTCAGTTAAGCAACCAAACACGAGTTGTGTACATATTAAACTTACCTTCCTCTTTAGGGCTTACTGTAGTTTGCGAAACGAAATGGAGCGAAACGAAACGAAGCGAAACGAAATGGAACGAAACGAAATGAAAATCTGTAGTTTGCGAAATGAGAATCTGTAGTTTACGAAATGAAAATCCTTCTGAGAATGCCGACGTCAAATTCAGCGTGAACAACGAAGGAGAAGACGTCAACAACAAACCGCGGAGCAGAAGGAACATCGCTTAGCACAGCGAAGGCAACGCCGACAACAAGAGACAGAGGAATAGGAGATTGGAATCAGAGGCATTATGATCGTTTTACACTGTCGAAAACCCAGATTTCTTAGTTTGCCGGTTTCCCCGCCGATATGTAGATCAAAGTCTGCAAAGTTCCAGCTCTGTATTACGGCCCGAAGAATAATAATTTTCGCAATAAAAGGGGGTGGTAGGCCTACACGACTTTTACCTCATGCCACAATGCTGCTTATTTCAATAAAGTTGTTTTTAACTGCTCGGTAGATTATGCTCTGGAAGGTTCTGCATTTTACTGAGCAAATGTGGTTTTAGGCGCATGTTTCACACTGAGAGGTCATGACATATATAGCGATTGACTGTAGTTATTGTTTTCTCTTGCCCTCTGATGCAAGCGCATTTTCTTTGACCTCTTTTAATTCCCAAGCTCGACAGTCGCTTCTACTTTTCAACCAAGGCAATATTTATAATCGCTTGAGATTTCTAAACAAATATCTTATGTTCTTAGAGGAATTAAACGAGCTATTTCGAGAAAATTGGTCAAAATTTCTGACTGCCGGGTATCTAGTTTTTTGAAAACAGTTCCCGGCTGCCGGGTATCTAGACACGTCGTCCTCTTTAATGTGCGATCCAGCTGAGTCATTGTTTAATCGAAGTTGATTTGAAACAAGCCAATATTGTAAGCAACCTCACAAGTGATATTTTGCGTTGAAAATAACATCTTTTTCGGATGCATTCATTGCAAAGACAATGCGTTTACACAACACTATCGTACTGCACAGAAGTCCGCCTAAAGATTCGAACCAAGAAAACTGATCTTCTACGCATTTCTGTTGGTTCAAAAGCCCCACGTGATCGCATGAGTCACTAAGCGGGGAGGCCTGGACGCCAGTTCAAGCACCAAACATGGCGTCAAATCACGGCATGATCGTGGAGATCTCTGTCTTTAAAGGCTTTACATTGTGGTCCCTTTCAGAGTTAATTGTACTATTCCGACGATGTCGAAGAGTAAAGTAGTGAGAGGAAAATATTGCATTGTTCTCCCAGGTGAGGGATGTTACGCAGCAAAATGTAACAATTGACGCGAAATGTAACAACTTTTGACGCGAAATGTAACATTAACCCGAAATGTAACAACTTTTGACACAAAATGTAACAGCTTTTTAACGCGAAATGTAACAACTTTTTGACGCAAAATGAAACAATATTTTTAACGCGAAATGTAACACGCAAAATGTTACAGCCTTGAAATAACTGAGAGACTTGGACATGAGCCTTGTAGATAAAGTGTAAATTGTCTGGTTGTTACAAAAACAGTTTATTTATAAAGTTTTCTTATAAAAAAAACTCTAATATTGCTTGTGTAGGTTCGCCGAAATACTCCATGCAAAGCAATCTCATCAATCAGGTTGGACTCGAGTAACAGGGAAAATCTTAGCTCTCAACCAACAACAGTTCGATACCGTGAGGAGTTATGCACTTGTCACCGGAACCCCCCCCCCTTTCCCCGGGGAGACGTGGGGCATACGTGGGGATTTGTAAGTGCTTAGATGACTTACCAGCCCCCAGGGGGTGGGGGAATAGTTCACTTTAGACAATTGATATTGTAGACGGGGACTGGACTCTAGTCCGAAGCGCATGGTCTGAGTTAAACTATTTTCTTTGCCATTTTAATGCGTTTGTGTTGTCCTTTATACAGACTCTTTTAAAAAAAAAAGTGAAAAAGTGATGTTAAACATCACTTTTTCGTATGAATATTGAAATAAGCCGGCTTTTGTATGTGTGAATTTAATTTAATTTACTTTTATGTTCAGATTATGTGACTGTTAAATGCGGTGGAGAAAGTGAAATTGACGTAGAACTCGAAGAAGATGGAAGTTTAGCTTTAAGCTGCTTAAAAGCCCTTTGTGCGAACGCAACAGGATTGTGTTTCACTTCAGAAAATAGTAGAAGACGAAGTGTCAGAGTCAGTGTACGAAGTGTCACTGTCAGAGTAGATAACAAATGTTTTCCGCCTTAAGGAAAGTGGGGAGAAAGGGTGTACGAAGTTGTGGTACCAGAAACAGATGTCAACGGACCTACTCCTGCTTCTACTTCGGCAAATATATGCGTCTCCAGTCCGTTAACCAGTCTTTGAAAAACCCAAACCTTTAGTCGGGGCTTAAACTAAAAATTCTCCCCTTAAAGGTGGGGCTTTTTCTTCCCTTTTTTAGTTCAGCTGTCTAATGCCCCACGTCTCCCCGGGGTGCGGGGGGTGGGGGTTTCCGTTGACAAGTGCATTATGTGCCTAGTGGGATCATTTTCTACTGGCTATTTAAGTACGGGACCCGTACATCGTCTTGTATTTGCTATTCATACGGGATTCCGACTGAACTGATTAGGGCTGTTAAAGCACCGACTCGAAACGGTTAACCTCTAATTAGGGTTACGGTTGTTGCATGTTGTTATATCAATAAAATCAAACTCCACCTAACAGCGAGTTACTACTCCGTGGTAGAGTGGTTAGGCTACGAACTATGGATTCTACGCCCCAGGATCGGTTCTCAATCTTGCCACATCGAATTTTTCTTCCTTTCAAAATTTGCCACTGAAATTTTTTCCTTAAAAATGGAAGGGTGGTTGAAGAGACTTACACTTTAATGGAAATTTGTTGATCAGAAATTTCAAGAGACTTAGAAATTTCATATAAATTTCAAGTAGAGACTTGATCCCGTCTGTCATAGCAAATACACGTCGGTGTGCGGGTCCTGTACAAATAGCAGCACTGTGTCAATGTAATGAAGCAACGGCATGTTGTTAATAACAGTGATCTTCTCATATTTTAAATGCAACACTGATTTTAAAAGATAAATGACAGACAGCCCTACTAGAAAATAATTTTATATATTTATTTTTTTTCAACAGGATCATTTTTTTATTAAGCACACAAAACATTCCTCTTTATAGTTAGCAATAAAATTTCTTACACTGGGACTTTCAGCATCAGTGAACAATACTTTTGCATTGTCTGTGTAATTTAAACAAAACGCACCATTTCGCTTTTAGAAAGCTTCCAGATGTTTCCTATTTTTCTATCCAATAAAAAGTGCACACTTGAACACATGGTTAACAAGTTGATGAGTTGCTTGAATTGAATTTCTGTCGATTTTCTCATACAAACTGCATGGTATTCTATCGAACTCCATGGACACGCTATGGCATTCCATGGAACTGCATCGGTACTTCAGGGAACCCCATGGCATTCCATGGAACTCTACGATATTCCATGGAACTCCATGGACCTCCAAGGAAACTCCATGGCATTCCATGGAACTCCGTGGAACTCCATGGAACTCCATGGATACTCCAAGGATACTCCATGGAAGTTCCGTGGAATTTCATGGATTTCCATGGATTTCCATGGAATTCCATGGATTTGCATAGACTTCCATGGAGGTATTTCACACGGGTTAAAAAGGCCTGCACTCTTTCAATTAAAAATGGAGCCCTTGGATATGGCCGATTTTAGATTGTAGTGATGATTCCCATGCTGTCATAACACTTGACCTCTTTGACTATATTATTTTACATCAAATTCATGACTTGAAGTTAAGTTGCATTTGTCATAACCTGTTCAAAAGTTGCTGTTGTTTGTATAAGAGGTACCATGTTACACCAGTGATTAGGGAATGTGTTATGCTGGTTTTGTCTGTACGGTTGTTGTTTTGGAAGCATTGTATCAGTGTAAAAAGAAATTCATTTTATATATTTCTAATAAGCCAATATGAAAAGAGAAGTTCATTGCTGTTGCCATAAAGCTGCTGTTTGTCCATGACTATACTACTTTACAATTATATTATAAGCTTGATATTTCTATGAGGTCATAGTTCATTTCAGTTCTCAAAAACAGGATGAAATAGCAGCTCATGTGTTATGTAGGCAAAGTCATATCCCTTTGAACACAAGCGTGATTCAGTGGATTTCTTTATCAGTGTAAAAAGTTCTTTTGCCTGCTGCGCTGAAAACTAGGGAGAACACTGTCTCTATGAATTTTATTGAGGTAGGGCCATATAACAAATTGACACTAGTTTGTACAGGTCTCTCCTGAAATCAACCATGAAATATGTTATCACATTGTCAACGTCGGTGTGGATCCTCATGGCACGGATGCAATAGCTGATCCACACACAACTTTGACTATGTGATGACTTATTTTATGGTCAATTTCAGTAGACCTATACAAACTGGTGTCCATTTCGTTTTTACCATAACAACAGCCAGAATGATGCGTGAGCATCAAGCAATGACATATTTTGTGTTTCCATACATTATTTGACCGATAATGTTAGCCAATGAACACACAAGAATTTCTGAAGTCATGGTAAAAGGTAACATTAACAATAAAATACTCATCATTGAGAGAAGATTCTTTCTCTCACAAATTGGCGAGCATTCAAATACACATTAATCCCATAGCTATCATCATCCTGCAGTGTGCTTTCCACTGTGCTTAAGAGTGGTTGTCAGAGAAAACCGGGCAAAATGTTAAAAATGTCAACGGAAGGGGGTCAACAGAATAAGTTCATACTAACATCATAGATAGGTCTGGTGGAGTAATGGACAAATATACGAAACATAGGTTCTTCACTGCTCTTGTATTAGAGATACGAGCATCACTTTTTTCGACCCCCTCGGACGCCATTTTTAAAAGCAAATTTTCACCATTTTCTGAAACTCACAGAACCCTCCAAATTTAACGAGCGAAGTTTATTTCTTGTATGCGATGCAACACGTCACAGAACTACTTTCTAAAACCATAAGATTTGTTAAGTATCCACAGACAAGACTAAAATTTTCTTATTTTATCTGACCTAAACTCAGTGTCTGCAAACAAGCAAACAATCGGGCATTTTTGAATTGATCTACAGCACACAACTAAAACGACAGAACAACTCTAACAGCCAAATTGCAGTCTACTATCATCCATGTAACCAAAACACTAATAATCATTTTGGGCCATTGAAACAGGAAGAAATTAGAAAACTCACATTTGTTGTAGTTTCCAAGCTTTTTCTTGCAAACAGGCCGATCCCTTCGTGTTTGTTTTAAGTCCTCTTCGTGAATTTTCTTTCATATTTCGCTGTAAAGTATGTTCTGCAGCTGAAGGACATATCAAAAAGCTCGAAATACTGCCTAGGTTACATTTTCAAAGGGCAAAAAGTGCTGAACGATAGGATGAAACTAGAAAATAACAAAGCGACGCCATCTTGAAAATTCAGCACTCAGAAGAGACTGGCACTAGTAGAGCTGCCTTGTCCACAACTGATGAATTACCAAACAGATAAAAAACAAAAACAAACAAACCGGCTTATCAGCGACCTATTACAGTCCTATTTCTTCTTTAATTACAACTTTTAGTGAAATTGTTGTCGTTTTTTTTTTTTTTTTTATATTTTTTTTCGGCGGAGTGATGGGGTGTGGTGAACAGGTGACCAATTGGCATTACTTTATTCAGTCTTCATTTGCTCTTCATTCACTTCATTTTGAGTTATCCCATGTAAGTCTTAGCGTTGCTTTGGACTCTTTTTGCATCATCTATTTTTGCGTCAGTCTTCAATCACCGTGCGTGTCCGAAGGTCCACTCATCTCCTGTTCATGATTTCATGATGCACAGTTTCATGGTCCGGAAGGCTTCGCTCGAAGGGTACCTCTTTCAAGCATCAGGTGTATCAAGGGGTAGCTAGGAAATCACAAGTTGAAGTATGTGAAAGGAGAGGAAAATCTTTCATTAAGTATTTTAAAGAACCTATTATTAAAATGCTTCCAAGAAACACGCCTTATGGCAATATCATTTACATGTTAAGGTTACTCGAAAATGACCGGGAGACCTCCTTTCTTACTGATTTATTCTCACGAAACAGATATAAAGGGTACAACTTTTTAATGGAAGATACACGAAAGGGGTAACTTTTGTCGAAAATAGTATATTTAAGGGTAAGGGATTGCACCTCGGGGCAAGGCCTCTCCGAACAAAGCTTTATTGAGTAGCCTCCCACCCCTCCACCCCTTTCCCCTTCTCCCTAGAGCTTTCCACAAGTTGCTCGCCAACTTTTTGGCAACTTGTAGTATTTCGAGCAACTTTTTCGTTTCAAGCAACTTTTGCGTAATTTCTGAGCAATTTCTCTTACTAGTTTTCTTCCAATTCTGAGATATCTGAGCAGTTTTTAGTGCTTAAATTGGCCTTGCTTCCATAATGCACAGTGTTTTAGTAGACAATTTATGAATTTCCTATGAAAAAAGCCAGATCCTCACCCCTTGGGGCAGATGATGGGCGCAAGATGCAGCCGGGCTACTAGGTCAGAGGTTTTTGAACAAAATTCGAAACGGCGGACGTCGATTCACACTTGACTGACACGAGTGTCTAAGGTGAATAAGGTCATTCAACAATTTTAATGGCTCATACTAGAATTTTTACAATTATTAATATTAATATTGATGTGTAGTCTTTACTCAAACTTTTTTTTTTAATTGAGGTTTACGGGCTTCTGATGGCGGACAGAGTTATCTAGCAACGCTAATTACGCTGCAAGATTGCACAAAATTACTTTGTTATACTCTACCAGGAGCCATATATATATATATATATATATAAATCGGGGTAGTAGACCGTAACTGGATACCTTTTCCAGGGATTAGGCTGACCTCATCGAAATATATATCATAGCCATTAAATGTACTATTTTTAGCACATTTTGTGCCATCTTGTGTGACTCGCGCGCGTATTTTTTTTGCAACAGCGCCGTGGAAAGGATTAACAAACGAAATGGCGTTGGAAATTACCCCCGTAGGAGATGAATAAATTCCGTTTCTGTCATCATTGCCTCCTCTGAAGTTAAGGCAAGACCTTAACAATTACTCTAAATGTGAGGACTGTGAACATGGTTCTGCTTGTGTTAAACGCCGTAGTGAGAGTGTTTTTGACAAATCCAGTGACGAAGAGATGTAGGAGATGTCAAAACTCGAGTTAACACTCAGACCCCTTTTAAAAATTTTTGAACTGCCAAAAACTTGCATGGATCCGCCTTTTCTTTACATCCGACCCGCGGAACCGTAAAGTTTTTTGAGCTGCAAACAGTATTGCAATCTATGGAGAATTTGCACGTTCCTCTAAACGGGTTGCACAGGTACAAAATTCGTCCGGACCCGTGGCGTTTAGCTTGTGTGGACCGTGCAAAGAGCATACTGAAAAAGAAGTGAGGGAAAAACAATGAGGGAAGGGGTACGGAGTGAGAGCCGTAGGAACCCCTGTAATAGTACTTTTTAACAAAAGCTCCTTCCGGTAAACCAGATCTGGTAAGCCCTTTGAATGGTTTATTTTGACAGCTCTTGTCAACAGTCTATTACCTTGTGGAAATGCGAAGTGATAGCGATGAGATCATCAGTTAGAAGGCTAACTTTCAAACCGGGGGGGACTCCGCATATGAAAGGGGTGGGGATGCTCGTCGGAAATTTTGAATTAAACCCCTAAGGAGACCGATCTGGGCATGGCCCAAGCTTTTTTTTTGATCCCTAAAGGAGACCATGTTGAAACACAGACAAATGACAAAACTTGGATGATATGAATGGAGTAAATAAAACGAATTAAAAATATACATATCAAATATATATTTTTATCTTTTTTTTTCGCGTGCTACCCTAAACGAGACCTTCACGGCTAAATATGATGGCGTTTTGCCCAGAAAACCCTAAATGAGACCAAAATCCAAAATTTACATCCCTAAGCGAGACGACGAGCATCCCCACCACTTTCATATGCGTAGTCCCCCACCCCCCCCCCCCTTCCCCGGGCTTTCAAAAATTACTTCGTCTGCTGTCTTGGCCTAAAATGCCCGCTTCGCACTCTGATTCAACTGTTCATTTTAGGTGGTAAAAATTATTGCAAATTTTACAGCAAGCAATATCTACTGCCCGTAGTTAGCCCGCACGCTTAGAAACTCGCGAGGTTGATATATAGCAAGTCTAGCTCGCTCCCATGAGAGCGAAGTTAAGTGATTCATAAAGAGACAAAATATATCTTTAATATTATCTACATTCACGGGACACCTCGAAATGAGAAGGGAATGAAGCAATTAACCTGCGATCAAGCGTTCTTCTTGTTTTTTCCTTTGAAAGAAAAACAAGCTTAATTCAACTAAAAGAAGTAACTGAAGACGAAATAAGACTGGAGTAGGTCGCTGATAAGCTGGTTTGTTTGTTTTTCGTTTTTTATCTTACTGGTAATTACAGGAGCCCATAGACTCCTGGTAATAGTTCATAATAGCCAAACGTTCGAAAAAGGAACTTCTTACATGAATCCGAGGCTTTCTGGTTACATTTCTGTATTAGGTTTGGTTTTTTATGTGCTCAAGTCTCTTTTGGGAATTACGAGCCAATTGAGTCGTGAAAAATTTGCAATTTTTTTCCTTATGTTAGATATCGAACTCAGCTACTAGTGCCAGTCCCTCCTGAGTGCTGAATTTTCAAGATGGCGTCGCTTTGTTATTTTCTAGTTTCATCCTATCGTTCAGCACTTTTTGCCCTTTGAAAATGTAACCTAGGCAGTATTTCGAGCTTTTTGATATGTTCTCCAGCTGCAGAACATACTTTACAGCGAAATATGAAAGAAAATTCACGAAGAGGACTAAAAACAAACACGAAGGGATCGGCCTGTTTACAAGAAAAAGCTTGGAAACTACAACAAATGTGAGTTTTCTAATTTCTTCCTGTTTCAATGGCCCAAAATGATTATTAGTGTTTTGGTTACATGGATGATAGTAGACTGCAATTTGGCTGTTAGAGTTGTTCTGTCGTTTTAGTTGTGCGCTGTAGATCAATTCAAAAATGCCCGATTTTTTTTGTGTTTGCAGACACTGAGTTTAGGTCAGATAAAATAAGAAAATTTTAGTCTTGTCTGTGGATACTTAACAAATCTTATGGTTTTAGAAAGTAGTTCTGTGATGTGTTGTATCGCATACAAAAAATAAACTTCGCTCGTTAAATTTGGAGGGTTCTGTGAGTTTCAGAAAATGGTGAAAATTTGCTTATAAAAACGGCGTCCGAGGGGGTCGAAAAAAGTGATGCTCGTATCTCTACTACAAGAGCAGTGAAGAACCTATGTTTGGTATATTTGTCCATTACTCCACCAGACCTATCTATGATGTTAGTATGAACTTATTCTGTTGACCCCCTTCCGTTGACATTTTTAACATTTTGCCCGGTTTTCTCTGACAACCACTCTTAAATCTTGGAAATCAATCTCTGACAGCAGAGTTGGAACATCTGGGATGATCACAGCCCCTTCATCTTGAAAACAATCTGGTAGGGGGTCATCACAGTTTATGCCATAGTCATCCCAGTTCTGCAGAGGCAATAGGGCATATGAAGAGTTTGGTACAGATCTTCCTTCTTCAATTGACCCCATAATCCAAAGGTGATTAGGTGTTTTGTTTCTCACTGTTCTGATGGGGTTGTCATTCCAGGAACTTGCAAAGATATGAAGGTCTTGATTTATTCTTGGTAAAAATACGTAATGTTAAGAGAACAGGTCAACATTATCTGACACATCCAGGTCCCCAGACTCCTCAAGAAAATAAAATACACACTAGTAAATGTAGATACAGCTGGCAAACAAGTCTCTCCATAACCGCTCTATGCGTTGATTATGTACCCATGGCCCTGTTATTATGCTGCCCCTCCCTGGTCCTCTTGCTGGATGAGTTAACATTCTCTCAATACTCCATGATCAGATCTTACTCGTGACGGCAGACCAACAAAATTCAAAAATGATAAACATGAAAAAGCGGGGAAATGTTGGCATGCGTACACACTAACAAGAAAATAAAATATATATTGTATAGGACATCAAATTAGCCACGGCAGACTTTACCTTATCAGCTTATAGTGGCCATCTATGTGCCAAAGGGCTAAAGGTCTAAAGGCCCCCTCACATTGTATGACCTTCTGTGTGTGACACGGATTTGAAGAGCCCTGACAGTTGTTCGTGCAATATTAAACGCCACCATGAATTTGGTGTCAAATGTTTTGTCTTCCCAATATTTAGACCATATGATGTTGTCAAGAGAATTTGCTGTGTGCCTTGCACATGTTATGTATGTGTGTGCATGTGCATGTGCATTTAAAAACTAAAAGAAAATCATTAGAAATTGTACAGTTATATATGGTTTAAATTAAACGAAAAATGAAATTAAGACGTTTACTCAAAAAGGGCCATCAATCAGAAATGGAAGGGCCCAATATCTACTTGGGGGGGGTATTGCATTTTTGAAAGTGGCCTATAAGAGACTTAATGAAAGAGCCTCGATCCACTTGCATGTAGTGCGCAACATAAACATTACCTTCAGGGTCAACTCTCTTCACTGCCTCCCTGATCCTTTCCTCTTGAACTTTATGCCCCGTGTACAGAAGATGGCCCCATATTGATTTGTAGCCACAGTTTGGGAAATTGTAGAGTATATCCAGAATGATAGCGTCTAACTCCGCTTCACTTATATCTGAGTAGCTCGTGCGAACTGGTAATTCAAATTCTTGTAGTCTTCTGTAAATTGTTTTATTGCTGACACTGAACATCATCGCTAGGAAATAATCAAGGTGATTTCGACTGATATATATCTTTGGCCTCCCTATATTGCCAGTTACTATCATCGGTCTGTTGTTGTGGACGTGTGAAGATTCCTCATTGCGCCTAATCATAAGTAAAATGAGATCATGGGCTTGACATAAGTCTGGACGGAGAGCTGCTTCAAACGTTCCCCCAAGTCTCAAAACCAGCGAGCATAACCACTCCACCTTATACAAGCCATAATCAAGATCTGCATTGCAAGCCAGTTGATTCATAACATCAAGAAGTACCGTTTTTATGTTGCTTTCTATAAGTTCTTGTGCTGTTCGATGTGGTCGGCATTAGATTCTACCCACCAAAACCACATCGATCGAGAGGGACTGAGATTGACTTTTGGACACCTTGTGACATGTTATACCAACGAAAGATGCCTACGATGTTTTGACGTATTCGCCTCCCGGGGATTCGCCTTTCTTTTGCTTTGGGCTTAATAATATTTGGGAGATCGAGTTCTCGCCAACAAAGGGTGAATATAACGAGTATAACTGTATTTTGGCAAATATTGTACGTGAAGTTTTAAAATATGTTTCAGATTTCATGGGTCTACGTGATACACATCTAGCACCGAACACTGTCGGTGGTTTTGGTGGATGTTGAAGTCTACATCCACCAAAACCACTCAGGGTTTTAATTTTTTTAGGCGCATAGTTACGCTTCTGCAAAGTACTGACGGACTTTTTTAAGACCATACTCATAAAGCATAATAGTTATTGACACAAACAAAATTTTAATCATGGTTTTTATATAAGTTGTTATTATTTACACATACAAACTATTTTATTTTCTTATTATTATTTATTATTTTTTTAATGTGCACTTGTGAGCAGCACACTTACACTTCCAGTGAACATTTTCACTTGGGAGAAGGAGAAACCATGCTTGCCCGGGGCAACGAAAATTTTCGTGCCCTGGGCGAGTGTCGAACTCGCGACCTTCCAAATCCCATCATCAGTCCCGGGAAACAAACAGGAACATCATGGCGGGAATTTTAAGTTACGAACCCGCGTTCGGTAGGAAAATTGCTCCGAATTTTGGATATTTTTCTGAAGTTCAAAAGCCAACTGACGATTGCGTTTTTCGCTGCCGTCAATCATCTTAACGGACCTCTTAGGAAACAAGACTTTACTTTAATGGGTTCAAAAGGTCAAGTTTTGTGATTTGTGATTGGTGGATTTCGATCCGTTTTGTGTTTTTCTGTGTTTCAAGGTTCGTTGCTTGTGGTCGTAATTATGATTGACGGCAGCGAAAAAATTGCAATTGCGAAGGCGGCTTTTGAACTTTAGAGTTCGCATGTTTGTGAAAAGCGCAGTAAAGCTGTATTATGTACATTCATAAGTCTCAGAAATTTAGAATTTTGGAGGTCAATATATGTAGACTGGAATGCTAAAATCCATGCCGGAAAGAAACTTCTTCTTGCAGGGGGTGGGGGGAGTATAAAGCTCGCGGTATTTACACCTAGCTATATATCCTGGTTCCAGAGGTTGTTCCTGATTTTTCTCCGCGTGAGAAAGAACGAGCACTTACCAGCGAGCTTCGCGATTCGTTCTCGCCGCTCGTTGCTTGTTTCCAACATCTTACTAACATCTCAGTCATTATGTATGAAACTGTATCCCCTGATATATTTTCTGCACCCCCACGTGAAATGAACGCAGCCTTTCTCGAGCCTTTCTCTTTCTTTCAGCTCCCAGTACAGAAGTGTAGTACACTCTGCTGGTATAGTAGAATTCCGACTTCACTAACGCTAGAGCCCTAATGGTTCAGTGGTTAGAACGTCCGATCTAGTATTCGGATGTTCGGTTGTTCGTGCATATCATCCGTACATTTTCCGAGAATCTTCGGTTACGACTTTTAAGTTATTCAAAATTTAATCTCAGTCCCTCTCGATCGATGTGGTTTTGGTGGGTAGAATCTAATGCCGACCGTTCGATGTTGACCCTGCAAGTGAGCCGCCATATTTGCTGTTACGTATCTGGAAAAGCACTCTGGGAAACAAAACTTTTTCAATAAGCCGCTGGCCCGATGGAATGACGTTTCTGATCCAATGGCATGAAGTTCGATCCGGTGGCATGACGTATAGAGTTCGATCGAATGGTCTACGATCCAATGACATGAATTTAGTTTTCAATAACACGAATTTCGTTTTCTGACAGAATGATGTGTGGCAATTACATGAAGCCCGAATGAATGAATGAATGAATGAATGAATGACGTATGATCCAATAAAACGAAGTCCGATCAAATGACATGAAGTGTCTAATCCGATAGAATGACGTATGATCCAATAAAATGAAGTCCGATCCAATGACATGAAGTATATTGTCGGATAGAATGATGTATGATTCAATGGCATGGCGTTAATGGTCCAATGGCCTGAAACTCGATTCAATTACATTTTTGTCCCAATTCCCCCTCCATACCCTTGTCTCTTTTCTCTCCTCGTGACCGGTAAATTGAAACCCGAGATCATCTCCCGCGGAGATCGAGAGTAAATAGTTAACATGACAATATTAGAATCGTGAGACGAAACTTGAGCGTCTTATTTACGACGCACCAGACAAGCAAACGCATTCGATTAGCAGCAATGTTAACCGTCTCTGATCGGATTCAAATCCATTCCAAAACGACCTATAAAGACACAGGAACAAAGGAAAATGCATCTTGTTATTTTATTAGCTAATACAGCGTAAATACATCTATTTTGTTTCTATTAGCTAATACAGCGTTCGGGCTCCCTGTGGTTTCTGTAAAATGCTCTGAAGAAAACTCCGTCTTCTGGAGGGTCTCTTATTATCTCTTATTTGAGTTTGTGTGGGAGGGAGTGGGGTGGGGGTGGGCGCTTATTCGAGGTGGGCGCTAATTCGAGGTTGGGCGCTTATTCGAATAAATACGGTATTCAACTTGAGCGTCGAGCACTTTTGGCGCTTTGTTATTGATCAGCAGGAACGGATTTGGTAATAGGATAAAAACTTTTCAACTGCTTTTAGACTGCAAAAGTTTTTTCTTTCTTTCCTGTTTTCTTTCTTTTATTTTTTCTTTGTCAGTCTCTATCGTACTTTTTAGACGTATTTTTCGATTCTCTCCCCAGTCTCACTCACTCTTCCCCCCTCACCCCCCTCACCCCCCTCCCCCCCCCTCTGCTCCAGACAAGAGGGAGCGACCATTTTGTTTTGCTGCAGACCATTCCTTCGACTATTCCGCGTTCTTGGCTTACGCAAAAAGTACGGGCTGCTTTGTGGTCTGAAAGACTTTGCACTGATTGACGTTTTAGTGTCGTGGAAACTCTACGTAGCTGTAATACTGAACTGCAGATGACAGGTTAAAAGACTGAAAGGTCCTTTCAACAGCGTTTGGAAAGAGAACATCGCCTTTTCCGCAAAAAAAAATAATAATAATAATAATAACAATAAAAATAGGGAAACAAAATAGAGTATAATACTGAAGCTAAGAAGAATCTTGTAACGAACGAATGGGAACACCTAAAAAGGAAAGACAGACTTGAGGACTTTCCTCATCCTTAGACGCCCAAGCAGGCCTCCAAAACCTTAGCCTGCGAAAACATCCGTTCTCCCCGCTCTTCGCCGCTAGGGACGTTTCGCGCGGAGGAACGTCTGCGACTCAGCGACAGAAATTCCATACTGATGACGTAAAATCTGTCCGGAATCCAGTCAGAAGCGCTGATTGGTCGACGGAGTAGTTACATTGTTTAAGCTATTGTTTACAAATGACAGACAAAAGACAAAAGGCCACAAAGGTCAAATGTAAACGCAAAGAATCTCTAACAA